TATTCTCAAAGGCTGGATAAGGGATTGAATAGAATGCAGCAGTGTTTTTGCTAAAGTGTGGGAGCACACAGTTTGCTTCAGCTGGGAGAGGCAACTGAATTTGGCATGATTGCGTTTCGGTTTGATGGAGATGCATGTAATTTTGCAACGAGTATTGCCTTAAGCAGCAGAACTTAAGTAGTCAGGTTTTCTAGGGGCTTGTGTCTTGAGTTCTGTGGATTATCTCATGTCTGTTGAGGTGGGAGCTCGCACTAACTCTGTTTAGTCGGGCATGCATAAGGTCCCTCTGTTAGCTGGCTTCTTGCTTCTGTGAAAAGTTTCCAGATCTGACTTATTTGTTTGTTTTAACCTCTGTCGTACTGAACAGTAGTTCTTGGAATTGGGAATTGGATGACACAAACATAGAGAGAGTATGTTTGTATGAGACTGACTGACCTGGAAGCAGACTAAAATTAGGATCTTTTCAAATGCTCATTTAACTGCTGGTTAAATACTAAGGATTTGAATTTGCTCTGTGTTGTTATGCACTATGTTTACTTTGTTTGTGGTGAAGGATTTAGAAAATGCACATAGTTCTTCACTAACCAATTTTCAAACCAGTTTCAATACACTAGGTAACATAGAAGGCAGACAAACTACTAGATTTAATATTGTTTCATCAATCACCACCATATTTTATTTCCAAATGCTTAGTTGCATTTCACTTCATTTTATATCATTTATATGGTCTTGCCTTTGCTCATCCAGTTTTCCTTGCAATTTTATTACATTTTTTTCAAGTTGAAAATTGGGAATAAGCAGTTAGGAAGTAAAAACAATAGTCCCAGAGATTGCAAACAGCAAATTATAGCTTCCTTGCTTTTCCACACTGCTAATGAATGTGTACTTTAATGTTGGTCAGTGAAGTATTACTGAATTTAGAGTACAGACTTAAAAATGCTGCCACGAAGTCGATGCCTTATTTAAATGTAAAATAAAGTATATAAAAGCATTAGGAATTTTTTACATTATGTTTATTTTCAAAAGTGAATACTGAATTGGCTCAGAGGATTTGGAATCCAGTCAGCGTCAGCATGTTTTTAAGATTTAGGAATCTGAAAATATGGATGCACAGAAAGGGAAAGTGACTTGGCTACTCCTGCTGAATAGATTTTAATATTGCTTGCAATTTCATTTACCTCATATGACATGCGTTTTTCTTTCATTTTGAAGCATTTTAGATATATCAGAAGGAGAGCTTGAATCCACAGTGTTCTAATGAACTAATTAAAATGAATTTATGGCTGGGTTTCTGTTCTGTAGCATGTGACTGATATAGTGTGCACTGACAATTAAGGCTTTCCTAACTAGTTTTGCTGAATGAGTCTTGGTGTTTTCCAGCTTTTTTGGCAAGGTGATCTATCAGAATTTATGAGTTAAGTTATCTTCGGGGAGTTCCAGTGAAAAAAAGACATGGAGGATGCTGAAGGTTTTTGACCCTCTGTCTGCTTGTCATCTTGTTACAAACATGCCTCTGACTTGCCTGGATTGTGGAAGTCCCCGTGTTTTGTTCTTAGCAGTTATCCATTAGTGGTAAGATTCAGCACAGAACTTGAGCATACCTAAAGGTTGGTAGCTGCAGTGTCCAAGTGCACCTCCTGATTCCTGGAGAGAGAGCCAGAATGTCCTTCATACCTGTCAGGGTTCAGATTTATACTCCAGGACAGTCTTGATGCTGTGCTATTCTTCAAAAAGATTTATTGAATGAGAGGAGTGTAGTTTTAGTGTTTAAGGCAGTCATCTGGGGAATGGGAAATGGTTACAATTCCTGTAATTCATGTAGATTATTCCATGTCTTTATTAGGTCTGAAATTCTCACTGCTACATGCTGTACTTGAGGCTGCACTTGGGACTCTTCAGGAAGTGAAACTAGGAAAGAGTGCCTCATCCACTTGCACGGTGCACTTACGTATAAAGAACATCCTAGTTTGTGCTGATACCTGCACCTATTTCTGCACCTGAGGTCTTGGATTTAGACTGTTAAATGTTTTGAGATGGCAAGAGCACAGCTCCCTGCCATACCTGAAGTCAGCAAACTGTTCAGGTTAAAAAACTCCTTTAGCATTGTTGTACTGCTACAGCATCCTTTGCTTTGGAGCTTATTGTACACCTGATCTGCCTGATTACAAAGCTTTTGTCCAGTTGTTGTGACTATTCATTTATTTCTGCTCTTATTTATTTCTTTAATTAGTTAATTTGAGGAATAATTTCCCACAACAGTGGTAGGGCCATATGCATACATTTCTGAAAATAGAAAGAAATAAGAGAAAGTTTAGGCTTGCTGGCACCTATTTGCCTTTTTATTTCTTAGATGGACATTGCCATTAAAATTTCTGGTTAGTTTTGGTTACGTGTATTGGTCTTTCTTCATATGGCTAGTTGCTTACAAGAAATTGGATGAACTGCTTTTTTTAGAAAACTCTTTGTAGTAGTATTTGGTCACAAACACTGTGGATTCATTCCAGTGCTGTGGGGCAAATTCAGCTTTTCAGTTCTCTGGAGTATTTGGCCCTGCATTAGGTTTTTAGTTTACTTTTTATTCAGTTCTCTGAACTGTGATGTTTGCGATTTGATGGATATAAACTTCGGTAGAGTAAGTTGGCAACAATGGTTTTTATTTGCTTTTGCAGGAAATTGGATTTTATCTAGTGATATTGCTTGCTTCAAGCAAAACTATCAGTTTTAATTCACTTCTACAATTCAAAAACCCTTTCAAGATAGGAGCTTGTTTCCTTAGCCTTTCTTTCTGGGAGCCACATGGGAGGGCAGGGCTAGAAATCAGAGGGCACCAGCCTGATGTTGTCACATGCCTGACCTCTGGAGGTACTGGAGTGGCTGAGGTAGGGCCAGAGGCAGAGCCAGATGTGTTGTTCTTCCTCAACATATCTGTAGTTAATTATGTCCCATTGTGTCCCATGAGACCCTTTTTCAGTTTCATTTTCTTGGTGCCTTTATAATAAGGAGTAATGTTTTGTATGGATGGTAGTCAGTTTTTAAATGGGTATAGAAATCCCTTTTATCGATTACATGCACCTTGAAAAAGGGCAGGACTGGATTTATGGGTCTGTGTGTATGACCTTTGCCTGTTAGTACTGCTGTATTTTTCATACCATATATTAATGAATATATTAATTTGTGAGTTTATGGTATCATTACTGCATTATAAATCATATTGTTATTACACGAGAAGGTCATTATTCAGTGAGCGTTGTATGGTACTGGCAGGTAGGGACTCCCAGTTGAAGCTATGAGAGAGAATCTTCTTGTAACATGACAATAAAAATTTTTTCTAAGGAAGTGATTTTTTAAGGCATTCCATTTACAGTTTTCAGAGTGATTGCACAACTGAAGGATCAGGTACTAAGAGAGCTTGTCTTGTTTACTCATTGTCATGTGGGTATTAAAAACTGATAATCCTTTAGATTTATACTGGTTTTTAATACACAGCCATTGCTGTTGTACATGTAGTAGTGGAAGGCTCTGTGGGAACGCTGTTGATAGGGAGTAAACAGGCTTCTTTTATTTACTTGTGTTATTCTGCTTTTCTTATTTCTCTTTAAACAATATTGTCTATACTTGTGCTAAGTCCAATTTGACAATGGCTAAAGTACTGGTGACTGCTGGGGGTAGCATTTACCATAAGGAAAGATCAACTTGTTTCCATTTTCATTGGGAACCGTAGTGACAAACTTGATGGGAGTGGAGGTGGGAGGGGGGAGCAGAGGTCTAATGAAAGCACAGCCATTGGCTACCTCTTTAATCTGGGGAGGGGAATGATCTTGAACTAGACAAATCCTGTTTAAAGAATTGGGTAATTAGTAGTCTTGTCACTCCACAGATTAGCATTTTGAATCCTTTTCAGTAAAAATGCAAACTGCCTTTATTATTTCCATCTTTCAAAAGGCACATAATTGAAAACTATTGTGTTATTTGAGATGCTTCTTTGAATTGTCTTCAAAAAGATTTTTTTTTCCCCATCTGATTGAATGTATTTAGTTGTTTGTTGAATGACAGTATATTCAGATGGGGTTTGTGCCTTGCATAGCCCCATCTTGTCTGAGGATTGAAAAGGTAGAATGGCCTCACTCCAATTTATTTCTTGTACAGTGTAGCAAAACCAAACCTAACCTGTCATCTCCACAGTGATCTTACAATAAATATTAATTAGTTTATTAATATTTCATGATCTCTCAACAGTCTTTCAGTTGTATTTTTTTATTCTTTCAACTGACTAATGCTGGGGTCGCTTCTTGCATTCCGTGTTTTCAAGTGGTATTTGTCCTCTAGTGGGCTGACTGACTTCTGTAATCTAAGAGCCACCAGCTTGTTGTCATCATCAATGAAGTATGCAGCCAACACTTAGAAGCAAGAAGATAACCACTTTTAGATGTTTGAACATGATCTTACCCTAATGTTATGGTGAGGGTTTTTGGAGTTACTCCCTCCCCCCCCCTTAAATATTTTTAAAAATATTTATTTAATCTTTGTCTATTGGGATTCTGATTTAGCGGGCAACACTAGAGGAGTTGCAAATATGCAACACATCCTGGGTGTTTTTGAAGACAAGGAGGGAAAGTGTGAAAGCATAGAGTGTGATCCTCCTTCTGGTGGATACTGCTGGTTTGAAAGCTTCTGCTCTTACTTCTGAGGATAAGAGGATGCCAAATGGGGAGGAGGGAGGGAGGAGAATGTCTAAGACCCTTTACTGAAGGTAAGTAACCAGTATTTAGACACTAACAAAAGCTTGACAGCTGTTTTTTAAAGCAACTCAGAGAATGAAAACAATTTAAGAAAATTGTGAACACATCACTATTACTTTTAACTGCAAAATTCAACAAACTTTGTATTTCATTCCATTAATGTTAGTAGTTAAAACAAACCAAATAAACCAAAGGAAAACACAACCACCCACCTTTTTACCTATCTAACTTAGTTCATGTTTTTACTTGTTTTATTTCTAGCATATTATCAAGTTTCACCGTGCCTCAAAAGCAAATAAAAAGCCCATGCAGTTGCCAAGATCTATGGTTAAATCCCTACTCTACCAGATCCTCGATGGAATCCATTACCTCCATGCAAACTGGGTGCTTCACAGGGATCTGGTAAGTGTGGCATGTATTACCTGGTCAGGAAAGTTCCACGTGTATGTTGTTGGGTAGGACAAGAAAAGTCCCTATTAGTAATCTTGCATATCGATCCGTACAGCTCTTCCTGTTATTGTTGCAGGAGACCAATTGAGACTTTAAACATGAAAACAAACTATGTTTTCACATTGTTTTTATCTGAGTCATCTGAGCTCGGACAATGATACTAGATCCGGTAATAGGATTGCAGCTATCGATATCCAAAAACAGTATGTGAGACGGCTGATATATGTTGGTCGAACATTCTTATAAGTTTATGTGTGACTTTGAAAAGGCATTTAAGTAGGAAAGTGATTGATACCCTTGTACGTTGTTTGGCTTATGTGCAAGTTACCATAAAAGCTAGTGAAAGAATAGTTTTTCATGGAGTATTTCTTTTCCATGTGGTGTTTTTTCTGACCGTGGGAAGAGAACTATAAAAGAGTTATCATCTTGAAATTTCTCATGACCTGAAGTAGCTCTTTAAGTTGACTGCAGATTACAAGGGCAGCCAGTTGCCTTGTCTTAGTTACCCTTTTCCCTTTAAAGTTTTCCATCGCTCCTCATGCTGAACTGAAGTGCTACCACAGGTTACAAAAAGAATACTGATGTGAATATGCTGCCGCTTGCATTGTAATTAGAGTATTTGGCATGAGACAAACAAACATGATGGTTAATACACCAAACATCACTAGTTGGTATGGTAGGAAATGTAGTGTAATCTGGGTATAAAGCCACAGCTTTTATTTGGTTCTTTTCCATAGTTGCCCCAGTATGTCAAAATAGGGCTGCATGTCCAGAAACTTACAATCACTAATTAAGTTTTGTGAGACATAGATTGGTCTTGAGTCTTTAATAGTAAACAGGGGCTTGGATTAATTTTTGGATGTAGAGCAAATTTTTTTTGAAAGACATGAATAAACTAAGGCAGACTTGGAATAGAAGTCACGGACATCTTCTGAACTAAATTTTATCTATTTTTTGTTGTAATACTTAACAACAGCGGCCACAACGGGTTTCAGATTTTGGTATAGATCATTTTTTTACTTTGTTCTTTGGTGTTTATTGTCAGTTTTTCTGTTAAATTCTAAATGTTGGTATACTGGGGAGATGGAGAGGGCTCACCTTTGGAATAGTAGCTACGACCAAAAACAGGAAGCATGTACAACCCTGATTTTCATGATACAATTACTACTTTCCTAAGGAGACAGCTGTTGTTCTGGCAGAGTGCTCAGAAGTAATTAGCTACAGCTTGAGAAGGAACACCTGAGAAGTCTATATCCAACTATGTTTAAGGGAAATATGCATTCATGGAACTTTTAAATATATATACACTCAAATGCCATGCATATGAACTTGATATTTTGATAGGAAATACAAGATCTAAGTAATTAAGGTAATAATAACAAATACCCTCGAGAATTTTCTTGCTGGTGTTGCTATTTCCAGCCTGCAGCACCAGGTGTTTTGCTTGACTAGTGCTGCTACTTTACAGTTCTTATCTGTGGTTGACACGTTGCAGCAAAGCTGGTGTCTGATGTCTCCGGCTTTCCTCTTGGAATTTTGGGAGATGATTGTTGCTGTTACAAAAAACACTGTTTTTCATGGCTCTGGAATGATAGTGCTTGACAGATGTTGGCATAATTGAGAAGGGAGAAGAACAGAAATTTGTGAAATCTTTGTGGTCTTGATCTACAAGTAAATTTAGGCAGATGGATTCCGGGATACCTCAGTAAGACAAATGAAGCCATTTTGAAAATTGCTTTTATACGCTGGTGATTTAAAGGTGTATTCAGAATCCTTTGCCTTTTTAAAATTTGTTGTGGATTCCTGAAGAATTCAGGTACTTCAAATAGTTGTATCTTGAACATGGTAAGAAAAAGCCTGATGTTATTCTGGATGTGTCCTGTTGGCACTTGAACTTCAAGGTTAATATAATAATTTAGTAACCAGTTTAAATCCTCAGTGAATGAAAAGTCTTTTATATCTGTAATTTTTATTCATATGCTCATACTTGTGATTTTTGCTACTAAGCACGGTACCTCAGGCATGATTTCACTGGAATCGGTTCCTTGCGTAATACATGAATACCAGCTCCTCAGTGTCTTCTTAAGATGGGGAGCAGTTTTTTTGGTGTTTTTCTCTTAGCTGTTTTAATTTACATCTGCTGGAAAAAATATTTTTCCACTTTATGTAAACCAAATTTTGCATCAAAACACCTTGTACTTTCTTGGTTTAATATAGCTCTGTTCTTACTATTTTTAACATGTATTTGGATGTAGACCAAAGATGGTGACATCCATAAAAGTCATGTTATGCTTTTTTCATTGCTTCAAAATAATATTAAATTCTCCAAGAATATTTATCATAATATTAGTCAAATTCTCCTCGGCCATGGAAATGACCTCTATAATTTTTTTAACAAATGTTATGAAAAAACAGAAACATGCCAGATTAGGTATTTGCAGGAGTACCTGCTTAGAGAGGTATATGAAGAACATTGTTTAAATCTTAATTTACTAGTGTCTTAAATAAAAGATTTTTTTAAAGAAACTGGAACACCAAATGTGTTATTTAAAAACCTTAAAATTACGATGGTATTTTTAGTTGTTATTTTTAATATCAGCACTAGCCAGCAAAAGTGTGACAGGGTAATAGAAGTGGTGAACAATGTGAATTTGCAGACTTGCAATACATGTCCTGTCCTTGGCCTGAGCTGATGGATAGTTGTTACCACAAGGAGACAGTCTCGTTCCCCTCTTCACTGCTAGGGGGGGATGCTAGGCATTGCCATCCATGTTATTGGTCTGGCAGGTGATGCTCACCTGACTCATGGTGAGCTCGTTCATGGAGTTAAACACACAGAAAATATCCACTTTTCACCTGCAGAGCTTATTTTCTGCAGGTTTAGCTCCCTGAGGGACCTTACTGGGAACAGGAGTTGGTGCAGAGGCAGCGTGAGGCTGGAGGTGGTGGCAGAAAGCTCTACAGGCTGCTCTAGCATCATCTGCCATTAGATCATATTATTTTATTGTTAAAATACACTTTTTTGGGTCTTTGGAGAAAGGGCAAGTGTTCGTAAAAGATCAGATCAGTATAATTTTATGTTTGCCTTGACTCTCTTGTGATATAAGACTTACATCAGCTTGAACTATGCCAAAACAAGTTGAAATTTAGGAAAGTGCCCATATTGAGGCAAACACTGAATACACTCACACTCATACTTCTAGAAGTTTGAAAATAATTTAGTGTAGTGTATCTTTCAATGTTTTGTAATATTTAGGTTATTTTGTTTCTGGCTTCCTTACCCTGAGAGTAGCTGAAAGGTGCGAAGTGACTTTCAAGTTTGGTTTTTTTTTAATCTAAGCTGTTGATTTTGGTCAGTTAAAAAACATTCAGCTGTTAGGGCACTATTGAAACAAGTATAAAATATGGAACAGAAGCACTAGATGTCTGATTTCTTTAAATAGCATTGTGTCAGCCTGTAAACGTTGGAGTTGACTTAAGTCTATGAAAATCCATACACTTGTTCTCCTGTCAACCCATCTTGAGTGGTATTTTGTTGTTGGATTGCATGTCATTGGGCAATGACAATTTTGCCTTTTCAACAAAGCAGCATTCCTGAAAGCCGTGCACGAGAGGAGGGAGGATTTGCTGGCTCTGCTGGCTGCTGGGGCATTTTCTCATGAACAAGAGGTTAGTACAGATGGATATTGGAGAAAAAACAAAAACCTTTGAGTACTAAGCTTTTGGGTTTTTATAAATGCTTTATATACACTGTGGGCTGCCCACTTGAACAGGATCTAGTATTGTGCTCCATATCTTGAGTCAATAGCAAGTTAGAAGATGCAGCATTTGGAGTACAGTATTTCAGGGTGTTCTGATATCTTTGTCCTTCTCCCCCAGAAATGAAATATTTCGATTCTACAGGAACGTTCAGCAAAGGTCTTACTTTGCAGGGATGTCAAAAAATGGAAATTGTCCATATACTGTTTGAAGTGTCTGTTCATGTTAGCAACAGGAAGGATTGGGGCACTTTATTGTGCTAATAACCTCTCTGTAGATGGTGTTATTTGCTTAAGGACAAAACCAGGCAGAGACCATATCCTTTAGAACTTTATAAAAGCAATTTCTGTTTGTAATAGGTTGTATTTTCCTGAAGGGGAGGTATTATCTATGAGATGTTTGAAGTGCACAGAATCCATACTGGGGAATTAATTTAAGATTCCATTTACGTCCTTGAGCGTTTCTTTAGAATACTGCTTTGTATTATTAAAACTACAGGTTGAAAAATGAATGTTGGAAATCAAACTCACCAGAGAAATGCATATTTGTTTTGGTTTTTCCCCCCTTTTCCCTGGGATTATGTTAAATGGTCGCTTTCAGCATTCTGAAATTGAAAACTTGTTTGTTGCAATGATCATATAAACTAAGTCTGTAAAATAAGCTAAGTTCCTAAAGTGTTTTTATTATAAAGTTAAATACTTGTTGACTAAGAATTTCTCAGTTTCTCTTGTAATGACCCACTACAGCTTTAGAATGTTGTAATTGACTGTGTGTCATTTTGCAAATTAAGGAGATTAGTGTACAGCAAAAGTACAGCTCCTTCAGTTTGCAGTCTACAATGTCAGTATAAAAAGCGTGAACAGCAGTGGCAAGGAAAGGGTACTTTTCCTGTTTCTGTTTTGGGAGGGAATCGGTGGTGATATGGCAGACTTTTGCACGCAAGTGAATAAATCCTGAAGAAAATTCTGGGTGCAGGGTCCTTATATACTGCAGGACAGCTCTTATGGTGATATTCAGTGAAGAAAAGTCATTGTAGTGAAAACTCAGGGGTGGTTTTTGTCACTTAAAAAGACAGCAGACCTTTTAGAATTTTGAAGCTGATAAGTGGAACAACACAGTGAATCTTGTAATTGAGTTTTTTCCTGGAGAACAGTATGTAGTGGTTGTTGTTTTTCAGGGTTTTCTGGAAACTG